GCTTCTTTGTACCATTCCTCGTCTTCGGCGAGCTCCAGGACCGTGTACAGCGGACACGGGACGTCCCCGGCGTCCACAACTCACTCCGACGACGTCCTTTGGTAGCGAACCTTGGCGATAGCCTTGCGCAGACCATCTTGATCCGTGAACCATTTTCCCGCGAGTTCCTTCGTCCAATGCTTCGTACCAAACGCCAAGAGCTTGTTCGCCGCTTCTTCCGCGACGCGAATCAATTTTCGCGGCATGGTTTGCTCGGCGCATCGGCGCTTTCTTCCCGTTTTTGCGTCGCTTCCTTTCTCGCGGCGCACACGTCCTCGCGTGATGCCGTAGGCCATGCCCAACCCTCCGATGACAACGCCGAGGCCCGCGATACCTCGAGCGAGCTTACGTGGTGAGCACCATGGGCAAGGGCGGGCAGGTTCCGCAGCGGGCGAGCGACTTTCAGAGCGAGCTGGCCTCGTCGCGGGCCGTGGCGGCGAAGGTCGGTAGGGCTGCCCCCCCGGCCGCGCGGGACCCGCTGCTCGCGGCCGTCCCCCGGGAGGTGTACATGGACGCTGCGTCGAACGTGCCCTCGGCGAGCTACTACAAGGACCTCAACGACAAGGTCGCGGACATCATCGAGCGGCAGCGGACGGGGGCCAAGACCGCGCCGCCGGTCGAGCTTTCGCATGTCGTCGCGGCGGACGGCGCCCTGGTCTACCCGAACCGCTACCTCTGGATGGTCTGGGTCTACAGCGCCGTCGCGATCTACCTGATCTGCCAGGCACCGAGCCCCGCGGCCGTCCTACTCGGTGTCTCCGCCATGTACCTCTGCTACGACGTCTACTCGGGAGTCACGCACGTCAATGACGACCAGCGGAACTTGGCGGGCCTCAAATCGTACATCCTGTTCCAGGGCTGCCTCGAGTTCCAGTGGCACCACGCCATCCCCGTCGATATCACGAAGAAGTCCTTCGTCGCCTGCTGCGCCGACCTGAACATCGTCGTCGCCGTCTCCGTCGTAATCAACTGCGTCGCGCTCGGCTACTCACCGCCGCCGCACTCACGGGCCTCAAGCTCTTCGGCGCCTACTTTGGCCAGTACTGCCACCGCTCCGCCCACACGCCCAAGAGCAAGCGCCCCCGCGTCGCCCAGTACCTCATGGACAAGGGCTTCATGTGCCCCCAGAACAAGCATCTCGGCCACCACAAGCCGCCGCACGACGCGAACTTTTGCCTCGTCGGCTACTGCGACGGCATCATCAACGGCATGCTCAGACACTGCGGCACCAACGACTGGGTCTGGTTCGGCTTCTGGCTCGCCTTCTCCTTCGGCGACGTCTACGTCGTGAACAAGGTCCTCACCGTCGCCGCCCCCTCCATCTTGAATGATCGTCAAAAATTATGTGGCTTCTCCCTCTAAAAACCAGTCATTTACACTGCCGTTGAGTTTATTCAACATTTACATCAAGACCAATCAAGACTCGCCTAGTGGGAGATACGAAAGACCAAGTGGACGGAAACTCCAGGGTCTACCTTGTCCTCTCCGGAAACCCCCCGTGGTGCTCAAGTCAGCTCCCTCCACATATCATCTACCTTAATGCAGCGTGGCATGATGGTTCGGGCACCAATTCTGTTCGCAGCTGGGATAAATGCTGTTGTCGGTCGAGATCCGTCAGGTAGTGCCGTTTGTCCGCCGGTGTTGTATCGAGCGACCAAAGATGAAAATGGAGTGTCCCAATTATCACTTTTGCAATCTTGTAACCAATATTTCACGAGCCCAGCTGGGTGCGTGAGAAATCCAAATATTCGACAATTGAACAATCAATTGTGCACAGGTACTATGCCCCTGCGGGTGTGTGTCAGGCAGACACACTAGATGACGCTGAGCTCTTCTTCAAAAAGTCTTGGTATAATGGGACATCTTCTAATTGTCGAACGCTGCCTGGCTCGATTGTCGGTTGGTATTTCCTAAATTGTGAATGCTCCATGGGCTTCTTGTGAGGAACTGTGTGTGCTGCCAACCGAACTAAACTGTAACGTTACGATCTGTAGGTGCCTCGAGAATAGTGCGTATCCTGTGTTCTGTCCCCCTGGCTTCTTCTGTGAGAATCCATCGGATTACCGTGTGTGTGAATCCGGGTATTACTGTAAAACTGGGTCGGTGCAGCCGGTCAGGTGCTCTCAAGGTGTTTCATGTCCTGCTCAAACAGAAGTGTCATCTTCAGGAGCTATCTTCAGTTTGCGACTTTTGGGATTTCTGGGTCTTGTCTTTGTTGGTTATCGTGTCCATTTTGGACTTTCGAGGTTCGAACAGAAAGCTGAAGAGCGAGCCATGCAAGATTACGTAGCATCAGTGGGAACCGCTGGCTCGTGGCTCGCACAGGAACACTCGATACACTTCAAAAGTCTTTCATGCGAACTACCCAATGGTCTGAAGATTTTACATGGGGCTTCTGGGAAATTGTTACCCCAATCCGTCACGGCAATTATGGGTGCATCCGGGGCGGGGAAAACTACTCTCATGAATGTTCTTGTGGGCAAAGTGAGGAAAAGTGAAGGCGCGATTTTTTTGAACGGACATCTTTGTGAAAACCTGGGGGATTTCCCTTCCCAGTATGGCTTTGTGCCTCAGGAGGATGTAATGCATCGAGAGTTAACAGTGATGCAGAATCTGACATTCGCTGCTGCTCTCCAGTTGCCACCTGGAACGGGACGATCAGAGATCCTCATGTGTGTCCGTGACGTGCTAGTCAAGCTTCAACTCGTGCATGTGAGACACAGCATAGTTGGCGATGAATATCATAGAGGAATATCAGGTGGTCAGCGCAAGCGTGTCAACATTGGATTGGAGTTGGCATCTCGCCGGCCCATTTTGTTCCTTGATGAGCCGACCACAGGACTTGACTCAGTGACGGCGACCCAGGTCGTCCAAATGCTAGCTACCATTGCTCGAACTCATCGCATGACCGTCACTGCAGTCATCCACAACCCAGGCATTCGAGCGTTTGCTGTTTTTACTGATCTTATCCTGCTTCAACCTGGCGGCTACGTGGTTTTTGCCGGCAAGACCGATCGTTGTGTTGGATATTTTGATTCAATCGGATTTCCATATGATGTAGAAAACATCAACCAATTTCCAGATTTTTTGATGTGCTGTTTGTGTGGTATTGAGGCACCATCACACGATGAAACGTGGAGTCATTCAACCTCATTCATCAATGCATGGCATCAACATGAATGTAGTGAACAGGAAACTCCGATAGAGACCAATATCCCAGTCGCAAGGCCCGTCTTGGGCTTCGTTGGGCAATTCCGCGTGTGTTTCAATCGAGCTTTGCACCAACATTACTCCTCGTTCACACACATATTTCGATACTATGTGTCGCCAGCATTCCTATACGGCATCGTATTAAGCAGAATCATTGGCAGACCTGAACTGCACAACGTTCTCGGTTCGTATCCTGATGACATATGCGCTCAGCAGCACCCTGACATTATCGAACGTTGTTTGCGTCTACAGCTCGATGGATACGCGATGGCAATTCAGCCTTGGGGTTTTACCTTACTTGCCTTTTACAGCTCCTTGGCTGTGAGCACCTTTGGTAGCGAGGAATGCGTTTACTGGAGAGAGTCTTCTTCGAGGTTGAACACTCCAGCATACTTCAGTGCGAAAGTGATTGCTGATTTGCCGAGAGTTTGGATTTCCGGA